GGTATTACACAGAAACATACCAAGGGAACATGAATCAAATATGTATCTTTATTCATTTACAATAAACTCATAAAGTACATCATTCTAATTGAAGCTAAGGGCATACAAAACTGTCTAACACATACGCCAAACCACCCTTGGATGAAATAAATGAGCCTTGAGATCACAAACACTTATCTCAAGCAAGCTTTGTTTCTTATCAAGACTCATAGAATTCCAATAGATCGAACTTGATCCATTTTGTCCACTGAAGAAGAAACCTTTCGTGGATTTGCATACTTGTGGCGCTCTCCAACTCGATGGGACAACCTAGAAGGCGATTCCGAAGGCTTCTCCTCGTCATTCGGGATTGGGAAGAGCATATTTCTGTTGCAATAACCTCGCAACAGCAACACGCACCTCAATCTCTTTCCTTCTTTCTTCAAGTGTCTTAGTGGCCTTCTTGATCTCATTGGGCCGCCTAGTCTGAACCAGCCTGACCTCCATGGGGTCTTTCGATAGCCCGCCTCATCGGAATCAAACGAAACTTCTCTTCCCCAGTCCCATTGTCAAGATTCTTCATCCACATAGATATAGAAGCAATGTTTGACTTCTGAATGAGCGAACAAAGTTCCTGCTGCACATGGGCAATCCAAACCTCGGGTGTAGACAGCTTCTGCTGGCTCTCATCCTGGAAGCCCTCTTTGGCAGGATCAACAGGGTTCAAAATCGAAAGCGCCCGCTCACACTCCTGCACAACCTCCTCATAGCCCTTGCTATCGTTGGATGCCTCGTACAACAGATTGGCATAGAAGTGGGCAAACTCAATTGAGTTGGGGGAGAGCAAAACGATGCATCGAGCAGACTATATTGTGTTCTTGAGGTGTCGCTGCTTGGCATTGGGGTCCTCAATTACGGAAGCAACCTTGACACAAAAAGTCCCCTGGTTGCGGTGAAGGAGAGTAGAGTTCCCATGGTGGAGACAAAACTCTTTCATCAGTCTCAAAGCCTTGGTGTGGTTTCCTCGCCAAAGAGCGGTGAGGGCTCACTCGCATTCGAGCTTGACCGCAGACTATGATGAAGCATCCGATTAGATGGTGGCTTTGATCTTACTGGGTTCTTGTCTGGAGTCTCAGAGGGACCGAAATTCGTCGAACGTTCCTCTTCAGCGGAGCCCAAACCGTCGATAGCATCGGTAAGAGCCCATAACGCTCTTTTTGGGCGAAGGCATTGTCAAAGGTTGCCGGAGGCAGCAGTGGGCGGCGATGGACGACAGTGGTGATCAATAATCCGGGAGAGGAAGAAGATGAACAGTATTTTTGTCCTTATTTGATATTATTTTAAAAAAGTTGAACTTGTTTTTGAAATTTTATTAAAAATATTACTTTTATGAATATTAGGGCCCAAAAGTTGCCATTATTTGCTATAATCCCTTTTTCTTTTCCTTCTTTCTTTAACCAAACTCTCTTTATCTCTCTCTCGTACGTGGAGCCATTCAGATTCAAATAGGAAAAAATAAAGCAATAATCAAATCCGTAAGGGAGCAAAAAGTAAAACAAAACCAACAAAACACCTTGGCTATGGTAGCACTCGATGCTGGCAGTGGCACCCGACAATGCTCTTATTCTCCTTTAGACCCACCACCTATTTCGTTGTCTTCATTGCTCGAACTCACTTTGTCTTAATTGAGAACCTGCAGCTGTTGCAGACTACTCGGATCTTGTGGTTAAAAGTTTAATTTTGAAAGTTTAAAGAAGAATGATGACAAAATAATCTTTTTAACCATTTTGTTAACACTGATGGTAAGAAAGATTTAATAATTATCAAAAACAATAGGAGTATAGTTAGTCAATTTCCTAAACCTTAGGGATAGTTTAAGAAATTTGCCCTACATATAATAAACATTAGAGATAACTTTCTCAATAAAAATAAGAAGAAAAAGAAAAATTGAGATATCGCCATATTGAACAGGTATTAAGACATTGGCAAATTTTTTATTCCTAGAAGCTTTTGTTTGTCCCTTGTCGAAGGGGGAAACTTTGCAATGTATCGAGAAAAATGTGAACTATGATTCAATGCAACCTAATGATATAACCACGATATTTCCCTTTTCCTATAGGATTGAAATATCCAGAAAAATTGCAGTTTCGAACCTTATAAGACAATTATAGGGCAGCCATTGTCTAGGATACACTTCGTTTGCTATTGCTGAATATCTGCAGCTACTGCACCTTAAAACCACAATTGGAACAATATAGGGACCTAAAAATGGTTTGAGAGAAAACAGGTCCTTTATACGGGTAAGCATAGCTATGATCTATGCTTGAAATGGTACTGCGAAAACTGCCGAGGCATGAAAAAAAATCTATCAAGCTGAAACTTTCTTTTTTTTTCTGACATTTTCATTTAGAAGGAAATGATTATAATACATGGAAATTAATGGAGGATGCATGATTATTGCTTTCACTAATTCAATAAATTAAGTTATGCAGCATGGCGGTTAATAACAACAACATTATAACCCATCCCACATTCCAACTCCATGCAGAAGAAACATCATGTGCACCTATATAATACTCTGGTCCAGACTGTTCATCCTGAACTTTAATGCTTGAAGAACCTGGAATCAACAATAGAAACGTAAATTTTGATTTCAAGCCAGCCTCAAGAAAAATGAAATTAGAGGTCTGTTTATTTTTTCCCCCTTCGCAATTAAGTAAATAACAAATAGTGCAAATTACATGATACTTACAGTTATACTCAGTCCACCCAATTGTCTGATTTTCAAGGTCATATACAATTAGCTTATTTGATAAAACTATATCTGCAAGGGAAACACAAGAATTAAACCAAAAGATGAAGGAGGCGATTAGAAATGATAGACTCGTGAGTAAAGCGCTTCTGTTGAAACATTTGTGGAGATTATTAAATGCCAAGAATAGTATATGGGCTGAAGTGATCAAGGCAAAATATCTGAAAAATAAAAGCTTCTATACAGAAAAAGCTCATCAATCTCACTCTTCACGGTGGAAACAGCTAATGAAGGTGAAAGAAGAGGTTAAAAATGATTTTTTTTTGGAAGGTAAAAACTGGGGAGGACATCTATGTTTTTCAAGACCTTTCGGTTTCAACAATTCCTAATGGTCTGATAAATGGCAAATCAGGTATCAAAGAGAGATAGCAAAGGTTGAAAGTTAAAGACCTCTGCACGCCTAATGGGGGATGGAATCTAGAAAATCTAAATGAGATGTTTGACCAAGAAGAAAAATAATCAATCCTAAAGGTGGTATTTAGTAGGAGAGAAACATATGACAGATTGCTTTGGAAACCATCCAATGATGGAAATTATCTATAGGTCCTTTCTATCCAAGCAAGAAGGCTGCTCATTAAGAGATCCACTAAACACATGGATTTGGAAAGCAAAAATACCTCAGCGTAATAAACTCTTTGCATGGAAGGTGGTAAGTGGAGGCTTGCTCACTCGAGCTAAATTATTTTCAAAGAAAATAATAAACGAAAAGACTTGCATCTTTTGTGGACAACATGATGAAACTGACTTCCATTTAATGGTTGAATGTCCTTTCGCAAGAGCTGTATGGATTCAGGCCAACATTGGTTTCAATCCAGAATTTTTTGAGGTGCAGACCATGCGTCAAGTTGCAATTAAATGGATTCAAAATCTTCACATAGAAAGAGACATGCAACAAAGGTTATTTGGAAAATGGGTTGTTCTAATGAGGTTAATATGGGAAGAAAGAAATGGCCAGTTTTTTCAAGGCAACAAAGCGAATCCTATGACCCTCATACATAAGCTGAACTATTTAAATATACAAGAGCCCTCTGCAAGTTCTGCTACCATGATCTACCAGGAGGCTGCATCTAATCAGAATGTTTTACCCTCTGAAGGTGGTACATACTATATCTATGTTGATGGATCATTTGTCTCAAACTTGCAGGCCGGTATTGGCATTGTAGTGCTCTCCCCAACCAAAAACTTTGTTGCAGCAATTGGGAAACAGTTAAAAGTTCTAAACCCAGAACAGGCAGAACAATGGGCCATGTTAATTGCATTACATTGGGCTCTCAATTTTGGTCTGAAACAGGTGCAAGTTTTCACAGATTCAGCTACCCTAGTCTCTCAAGTATCCAACAAAAACAAAAGCAGAAGATGGTTGGAATAGGCATTGATTGAAGAAATTGAGTGTGCTGTAAATCAACTAGTTAGTTGTAAAATAACCTATATTGAAAGAAGCTGTAATAGCCCACACAATATGAGGAATATCTAGGCAGCAAGGCGATATGGAATATCTTGAAACTCCACCAAGCTGGCTAGGGGAGCACTTCTCCAGCCCTAGCTTAGCATGGAGATGTATTTTAAAACCTTCTTAATGAATCCTCTTTCAGTTTTTGCCAAAAAAAAAGGGTTACACCAATAAGGCATTTTTTAGATAGGGCCTTCACATCATTGCCTTCAAGGCAAATACCATAATGCGTGTTGTATACATTGTTGTATTTTATTAGTGCTTTGTAAAATTTAACTCAACTGACCGATACCCAGCCTATGTGTGAATTTTCATAGGAAGCCATCGCGTGAAACCCTAGGCGCTGTTTTCTCTCTCCTCTCTCATGGCGGTTCCCAATGAATCTCCCTCAGAAACAGTCCTTTGCGGCAGTCCTCTCTAAACTGTCGCCTCTTGAATCTCCCTCTCTAGAAGTGCCTGTTGGTTCTTCGACGCTGAAGCAAGGAGAGCCGGCTGTAGCTTTCCCAGAAGAGATCCTTCAGCACTCCTATAGCTTGTTCAAATGGGCGTTGATCGGAAGATGTATGCATGGACGTCCAGCCTTACCAACTCTTAAAAACTTCATCTGCAAATCGTTTTTGCTGAAGAATGAAATCTGGGTCACTGCCCTGGGTTCGAAACATATCCTAATCAGATTTGCGGCTGAAGAAGATTATCTGAAGATGTGGTTGAGAGAAGCCTTTGGAATCAAATCTTTCACTTTCGCCTCTTCAAATGGATGCCTAATTTTGAGCCCAGCTGGGAGCCAAGTGTTGTGCCGGTAATTTCCCTTACCTTCCTGTGAATTTTTACATCGAGGGATGCTTCGATCCATTGCTCAAACAATCGGTCCAGTTTTAAAGTTTTAAACTTTAAAGTTTTAAAGTTAGACCTTCAGAAGTCTCACCCTAAGAGAGTTTGGATCGGCTCTGGATGTGAGGGTTTTCGGCAGCCGGTTGAATATGAAAATCATCAGTCCTACTGCGATTCTTGTTTTAAAATCGGGCATTCATCTTCTGAATAACACAATAAAAAGAACAAAAAGACTGATGCTCCATTGCCTCCCAAAAGATCTGATGCTCAAAAAGCTGACAATACCCAAGATTGGGTTCCTGTGCATGATCCGAAAAAAGGCAAAGGCCCTAGTACAGATACGACAACTGTTGTGGGTGTTCCGCTGATGATTGAAGAACAGGTGATACTCTCTGACACCCAGCAAGAGACTGACAGAGTCACGGTTACAGAGAATGTTGACACAACTGGTCCCCTGAATTCAGATGAACTCTATCTACTTTCACCGACCCCTAAACTGGGTATTTCGGCTGAAGATTGCATGCTTCTTGGCACAAAGAATCACAGGTTTTTTGTTTGTTCAAAACATAAGGCTATCTTCAGAGAAGTCATAGTTAATAAGTTACGTGATTTCCAAGTTTCCATTACTCCTCGGATTTAGGCTTTAATCAACACAACTGTGGCTGAAGGTCACAATGAGAACTCTGAGATCTCAAATTGCATTTGACAGCCACTCTTTCTGAAGGTGAGGTTGAAAGAACCAAACGGGGAAAAAAGAAAAAGTCTAGTACCCCATGCTCGGGGATTGGGTAATGATCCCGCTGTTCGGAGACTTGAGAAATTAAAAAATTTACATGATGTTGGGATTTTCTCTGTTTCTGAACCCAAAATTACCATGGCGGATCTTTCCCGCATTGCGGTGAGATTAAATTTGAACTCCATGATAACAAATGATGATTTAAATCCTCGGCTAGTTATGTTTTGGCGTACTTCTTATTACTTTGTTATTGATAAAACCAAGTATGCTATATCTTGTTTGGTTGAGGTTCCGGGGGTTTCTCCTTTTGTGTTGATTTCTATACATGCTAAGTGTAGTATCTCTGAAAGGAAAATCATGTGGGCTACGGTTGGTTCCTTTGTGAACTCTTTACATCTACCTTGTTTTAATGCGGTTACTGACCCTTCGAGAACTTGGGGGGCCTACCTCCTAATCCTACTGCGATGAGGGATTTCCAGGATTTTATATTTTCTGCTGGCCTCCGTGATTTGGGTTTCTCTGGCTATAAGTTCACGTGTTGTAACAACCAAGAGGGGAATAGCTATGTTTGGGCTCGTTTGCATAGGGTTATCTGTAATGCTGACTGGTTTACAGATCACTCCACTACCCCGGTAACCCATTTGAATAGGCAGTATTCAGATCATGCACCTTTACTGGTAAATTTATTTCATGAGCATCGCATTGGCCCTTCTCTCTTTGTTTTTCAACATATGTGGATTAATCATCCTATTTTTACTGATACTATTGCTGCTAGTTGGATGGAATTTGCTCATGGCTCCCCTCCACAGATGTTGCTTTTCAAGCTGCGTCGCTTATGTGGCGTACTTCGGGTTTGGAATAAAGTAGACTTTCGGAATCTTTTTCAAAATATTTGGACAGCCGAGGATGAGGTTCTAAGTTTTGAAAATCTTCACACCCAACTTAGGGATTCTGCTTCTTTAAATCAACTAAGAGATGCCAAAAGATCTCTCCATCACTGGCTTCTTCAGGAAGAAATTTTCTGGAGAGATAAACCCCGGATTTCTTGGTTGGAGGCGAGTGATAGAAATACAAAATTCATGCCTCTAAAAGAAAATCGGCTGGCTTAAAAAATCCAGAGTGTTACTCTAGATGATGGAATGGTTCTCAGTGATCCTCAAGACATTCTTCGGGAAGCTATTAGATATTACAGTGATATTCTCACTTCGAAAGATTGTTTTCTACATGAGTTCTTACTAGAGCTGATACCAAACTGTATTACCCATGGGGAGAACATAGCCTTGTTGACAATCCCAGATCCAAAAGAAATTTGGCTAGCTGTTTTCTCTCTCTCCAAAGATAGCTCTCTGGGTCCTGATGGCTTCACAGGGCGTTTCTTTACTAGCTGTTGGAATATTATTCAGCATGATGTAGTAGGCGTGGTTCAGCACATTTTCAGAGGTGGCGAGCTTCCCAAGAGTTTCACCTCATCCTACATCTCACTTATCCCAAAATGTAAGAACCCTCCCCCCTTTTCAGGTTTTAGGCGTATTAGTGTTTGCAATTTTTCTTACAAGATAATTAATAAGATCTTAGTGGATAGATTTGCTGCCATTCTCCCCAAGTTAATATCTCCACAGCAGGTAGCTTTTGTTAAAAACAGGAATATTTTGGATAATAATGACCTTGTCCAAGAGTTGTTTTAGGAAATTGGTAGGCCTATTAATGTGGTTTTAATTGACATGCTGAAGGCTTATGACTGGATGGAGTGGTCTTTCTTATTTGTTGTCCTCTCTATGTTCAGTTTTTCCGATGAGTGGATCTCTTTGATGAGGAAGATTGTCTGTAATTGCTAGTTTTCTATTAAACTTGATGGTTGTATGCATGGCTTCTTCAAATCCTCGAGAGGCCTATGTCAGGGTGATCCTCCTTCACCGTACTTGTTCATTATTGCAGAAGAGGCTCCTAGTAGAGGGCTGGATAGGCTCTTTCATGAGAACCCTTCCATTCTATACA